TGACATTTATTTCATAAATATTTTTTCAATAATAGTGTTGTTAACGCATAGATTTTTTCAATATTTCTTTGTGACAAAATAAAAAATAAAACATTCGTTCTCCAAAAAGCATAGATTTTCAAAATAATATGTGTGGACTTGGGAGGGGAAGAGTAGGCCCATTTTCAGAAATGGGCCTCTTTCTTGATTGATTTAGTCCGTCACATGCTCAATTTCGTATTGATTAACAGATCAAGTGGACTCGCGTGCACATCAAAATGATGTTATTTTCTTAAATATACCTAGACATACGAGTAACATAAAAATGGCATTTTAAAAACTATTTCATGAATTATTTTTATATTTAAGCTTTACATAGGGAGGGGACTGTAAAATACTATCATTTTTAAAGATTGTGATTGTATAAAGATATCAAAGTATGAAAACTCATAAAAAACAATTGTAAGGTATTTCATTTTTAGTACAATGTTTGTGTTATTTTTATACCTTTGCTAATATCACCCCGCACTAGGAAAACTTCATGGGCCCGTCCATGAGTGTCACTAGTCTAAAATGTAAGCTTAGGCGCAAAGCATGATCGAAGTGCTCCGTCTAGGGTCTAAGTGTACGAAAAGGTGGTCAACTCTGCGTGCGCTACATTTGAACAATAAATCAGTGACCTACTAGTAATTAAATTGGTTTCTTCTTTCAAAATCACTTGAGGTCATACAAACTACCCCGATCGTGACTAATACAAGATCTATAATCCCCTCAACCACAAAAATAATAAAAAACAAGAATAAAATCTGAGGTGAAAACCATGACCATGAGCTTTGGCATTAGAATATGGATAGGGACAACGACACACCTAGCACCCGGCAAGGGGACGCGGCTGCGCGTGCTGGGCTCCATCAGAACAGTGTTAGATTGTAGGGGAAGAGGGAGACCGGTGCCTACGTGGGAGAGGTTTGGGTTTTGCTTCTTCTGGTTGCTAGTTCGTCTCCTTCCCCTCCTTTTTTTGTTTTGTTTTGTTTTTGGGCCCTTTGTTGGGCGACTCGTTTCTCTCTCTCTCTCTCTCTTTTTTTTTTTTGTAATTGGGCCTTTTGTTGGGCGGCCCATTTTCCCCCCTTTTTTTTGGTAATTGGGCCTTTGTTGATTTGTTGGAGGTATAGATAGATAGATAGATAAATAGATATTTCACTTTTGAGGACAAAAAAATTTACTAGGGCTGTCGAGGAATTTTTTATGATAAAAAGTTTTAATCCTTGCAAGTGAAATTTCTTGTAGTGTGTATAAATATGATCCAATGATTGAGTTTAACATGGTCGTGGAATTAGGGAAACGATTGCTTCATTTGGTGAAGGATATGCAACGAGGTTTGATGAAGAAGGATTTTGAGGAATCCATGGAGGAAACCATTCTATTTCTAAGGAGGACGAGGAGAAAATTGTTCATGGCGATGCCCAGGGTATGTTCTCCTTCTTTCTTCAATCATCAACCTCTAGACACACCTTTTATCTAAATTTGAAATAACTAGTTTTAATTACATATCTAATGAATGCACATTTTTTCAACCATCACATATTTCATGAAATCCATAATTTTTCAATCACATATTTTATCATTTTTTTTTATCACAATATACTATAAATTTTATTTTAATCCCCACCATACAGGGCTATACTTATAAAACGTTTTGACACTTCAAGAAAAATTGCCTAATTTTTTTTTTATTATTATAATTTGACATTGAGCAAACTTTAGTAAAAAAATTTAATAATTATATTTGGAAACTTGAATTAAGAATTTAATTAAATATTAATAAACAACCTCACTCTTACTATCGCTAATTGTCGACGGTCATTTGTTAACGTCCGTTCGAGCTGAACTTCAACACTGGATCCGCCACTGGATAGGATGTTGTCCCTTTTCCAAACAGCTCATGTAAAAACATAAATAAAATAGAATTTTCACTATCTAGCCAAAATCATAGGTTGTATAAATTTATAAAATCTGTATACTATAATAATTTCGGGCTTTTACAAATGATAGAAAGATGACGGTCCAACAAGAAAAATTAAACACGATTAGCACGCTTTTATATAAAAGTACAACATTTATTTTTATATTTTTATGATTATTATAGATATAATTGTCCCAGAATAATACATACCATGCCCAGGTTTTGTGAAGCTAAAAGTTGAGATGGGGAAGACTAATCAACCCACCATCCACCACTATGTCATGGCCGGTAACAAATGCAGAGTCATTAGAAACTAGGAATAGTACTACATCTGCTATATGTTCGACCGTCAATGTTAATCCTTTCAAAGAAGTGAATGGTCCAAATACCTTTTCTACTACCTCGCTTGTCGTCAAGCCCGTGTCTACAGTTATTGATGTAGCGATGGCAGTTGGTGATACACTATTAACCCTAATTCCATGAACCCCAAGTTGTTGACTAGCTGTTCGTACCAAACCCAATACAGCATTCTTGGACATGATGTAGTCGGTCATGTTTGTCGCCCCCCTCCAGTTGTCGACCACCGCACTTGCAGTACACACGATGGTCCCCTTTACACCTTTCGCCACCATTGCAAGTGCAGCATGCTTTACGCAAATAGCCATACCTCGTACGTTGACCTTAAACAACCGATCAAATTGTGAGAAATCAAGATCGAGTAGTTTTTGATCGGACTTACTCGCTATTCCCGCGTTACTAAACATGATATCCAGTTGACCATATTTTTGAACAGTCCAATCAACCATGTCCTTCACTTGTTCTTCATCACTGACATCGCAGTGCACATAGCTGCACCTCTCCGAGCCAATGGATTCCACCACTGCTCGACCTTTCTCATCTTGGACGTCAACAATCACAACCGCTCGTGCACCATGATTGGCAAAAGCATGGGCTGTGGCCTCCCCGATGCCGCCTGCGCCACCAGTGACAATTGCAACTTTGCCTTGTAGCTTATTTATGGGCAAAACTGATTCAAGATGTGCCATTTTTTGAAGTCACTAAAATCTGAAAAATAGATGGCTTATGGCTTTCACTTTTCCTAAGGTTTGAAAAGAAAATTGCAGTGTCTCTTAGAACTCGATTGATGACGATTTATACAGGCAGCATCAGTCTACTTTCCTTTTTGGCGGCGTCTGTTTTCAACACCTGCTTTTGACTACAATATTTTTTTGGGGGCTTAAATATTTAAATGAGATGTTCGACGTGGTATCCATACAAAAGAATGAGTTCAAATCTTATTGTAATCCATTTATAAAAATCGTGCAAGAATCGTAATTTTGATGAAATTGTTCGAGCACACATACATGTGATGACTTGTAAAACCACAAAATTAAAATTAATAAATACATCATTCCTTAATAACTTGAACTATTAGATGAGGATTCAACATTATTCATTAATATTATGAATTGTAAGTGCTAAAATATTAAAGTAAGAATATTCTGCTTAATTAAATTTATTGTCCAATGATCAAGCAGTCAAAGAAATATTTATATTCATAACAATATTTGTTTAACCCCGTTTGGTAGGGATTAAAAATCAGATTTCTAGTAAATTTTGATAAAAAATGATGAAATATGTGGTTGAAAAGTTATGAATTCCATGGAACATGTTAAAATTAATTGTTGACTTTAATTTATATTAAAATCTAAATTTTAATCTCTGTCAAATATGAGCTTAATTGGGATCTAGGTGTTCTTATTCAAATAATTTTAGCAACAATTAATAAAAAAAAAGAGTGATCTTTTATTGACTATTTTGGGAGTTGGCCATTCAAAGTAGTCAAATTTGACCGACGAATTACACCATTATCTGTTTGATATATCTTCAATCACTATAAAATTTGAACATCTAACCACAATCATGCATTCTTTTTTATTTTTGTTTTTTATATTTCAATACCTAAAAGGACATTAAATGATAACTACAACTAAATGAATTACTGTTGAACTTATCACATTATGACATTTATAGATATTATTATTCTAATATATTTCTCAGTTTTCAAAATTACTGTATCTATATTCAACAATGCTACGCTATAACATATCCTCCTGACCATTTAAATAATTGTCTTGCTGTTGAATCTTGGGCAATTCAACTTACAGACTGCAGTTTCGACAGACTCGCGGTTATGATCTTCCTCAGTAGTCGGAAGATATAGATTGAGAATAGTTACTTTACTTTGATACACTTGTCTACATCCTTCCCTACCATTGGCGGATCTAGAGGGGATTGAGTTATGCTACATCCCATCCCCTAGCCAATTTCACCTTAAAAAAAAAAAAAAAAAAATTAAGTAAAAAAATATTTTTTATGTGTGTTGTGTGTATTTGCATATTAGACCGTTCTAAATTTTTTTTTAAAAGAGAAGCTTTTTCCTATACTCTAATTACAAGACTATTATTGTGTTTCGAAAAAGGCTCAATAAAGTCGTAATCAAATTATAGCACAAACAAAGAGCAATAACAATTATCATTCACGTTAAAAAAAGATCATTCTATTTGCTCTTTTCTCGATTCTTCCTATGATTCCCTCATAACAAAAAAATTATTACAGAATTTTATTGATCAGATGAATATAAATCAAAAGACACTACTAACATATGCATCTTCAGGGAATTCGTGCATATCAATGAATTCTGTAGGCTAATATATGCTCGTCAGCCTCTTCCAGAATTCTGTAGGCGTCTCAAGACAACAATCTTGTAGAGCCTTCTTGTCTTCATAAACAAGACCAATGCAACTAGAGATCCAAAAAGACAAACACCCGCCAATACGAAGAACGATATCATGAAACAATGAGAGCCACTGCACAAATTCCCTTTACCAGATGATTCTTTGTCGTATATGTAACCAATCACTCGTACAGAAAATATGTAAGATCCAACGGGACTAGCTACAGCGATGGTGTTAAATATAGTACCCATATGCAGCACACCGAATATCTCAGACGCGATGGTGGGCATCAATGACCATTGTGAACCATAACAAACACCAATCAAAACCGAACCCAAGTACAAACTTCCTGTAAAACCCAAACCAATAATTATATGGCCTGCAGCCATGGTTGCAAGAGTAAGAGTATTAAACAACGGCCTCTCCCAACCTCTTCTGTGCAAGAAAATATCAGACACATATCCAGCCCCAAATCGCCCAAGAAAATTCCATATGCTCCATAGAGAAACTAATGTACTTCTCTGGACAGATGTGTAACCGAGTGATTCTCCTATTTGGCTGATATTGTTTATTGTGGCCATTCCGGAACCCATTCCACAAAGCATTGCAACAAACAACAACCAAAAGTTCATTGTTCGCATGGCTAGAAAAAGATTCATTTCTTCAACATACAAAGTATCCTCCGAATTGGGCTCGTGACAAATTGTATCAGTTGGAACCTCACCACACTCTTCAAGATTCTCTACTGTGGACTTCTCTGAGTTAAACGAATTGGAGTCCTTTATTAACGAGGTGTTTAAGAATGTTTGTGATGATCTCTGTAAATCCTCCTTATTTGCTTTTGTTGGGAATAAACACAGCAATGCAAAGTTTCCATAGCATAATATTAGACACTAATAGCAATGTCAAACAGAGTTCAACAGGTTCATCCAATGAATGATAGTTCAATATATATATATATCCCTTTGAGAATGAAATCAACATTGCAAGCTTAAAGAAATCATAGACAGAATACTTTCTAAAGTTCAATATTCACATATGATCAGATTACAATATGCTCCAATAATTACAATACAGTATACAATCAACCTATAGCAATGCATTCA